AGGCAAACCTTCTGCTTTCATCTATTAGGATGGTAAGAAAGTCCTGAGCCGTTCGACACTTTTTTGTGCTTTACTTTTTTATTCCGCGTACAATGGAATCTACTCAACAATATAATCACCATTGTTACTCACTACAGAGTCCCACCTAATGGGCAGGTCAGCGACCTCCTTCTCCCAGAACTGAGCAGACTGAGAGTCAAAGAAATCGCTGACCGCTCTTCCAACTTCTTTAACCTTTGGTGAATTTTTTCTTCGCTAGGGATCCCTTAAGGGGATAGAGTAAGTGATAATCAGAGAAGGCAATGTAAGGGGAATAGGGTTGATGGGGAACCGCGTCCCAGATCAGCTCTTCCAATTCTGCACGGGTCTCTTTAACTTTGTGGGGCCTGGCGTCATCGTGGAGTAGGTGGACAGAAGTTCGTCACGGTCGTTTTTTGACAGCGTCGATAGTTTCTAGAGCGACTGGGTAAATGGTTGCCGATGCGGTAATGTTTTACGGAGAGCATTAACAATACAGCATTTTCCGATTAGAGTCAAGCAAAAGGGTGAAGCTATTGGGCGAAGGTCGATTTGTCGTGGCGGAGGTTATCTTCAAGGAGCCACACGGCACTGTGCTTGTTTAGAATCGTAGAGGACCCAACTCTCATCTCTCGTAATCACGCCTTCCAAAAACTCCTTTCGGTGCGGGCAAAGAAGGAGAAACTGACAAATGGGTACCCGCCTGAACCGCGTGCTATCGGTCAAGACATGAGGAATCCATTGAGTCACCACTTTCCTGTGGCGAGGTCGTGAAGGGGACCGAGGACTGTGGGATGGGTGCACCCGAGTCTTATCACAAGTCTGCGGGTGCTTCGTCCGCCGATCCACTTTGACAGCGCGTGAGTAACGGTGGGCTTCACTTTCGGGGCTCCACTTGTCTTTTTCTTTAAGGGCCGTTGTCTCCTTCGATAGCCTGCCAAAACCGACAGTTGGACCGATCATTGGAAATAGTATTCCTTCGCCAATGCGTGCTGATAATTGTTGTTAAAAAATGTCCACGTTACTCCTGTTGCCGCAGACGCCATTTTATTGAAGATGATCGCGAAAGTGTTCTTATGGTAACGCCTATCATTGTGGAAGTTAAAAAAAGGGCAAACACCGGCAAATTATCTATTTGCAGAGGGAAGTATGATCGAACAGCGATGTGTCTATCACGTAGCAGTTTAGATCGTCAATAAGCGAAAAGTCCTGAGCTTTAAAAGATCGAGCTCAGAATTTTTACTCATCAAGGTTCACGGAAGATTCAGTTTTCAGAGGAAACAAACACGAGGAACAGGCAATGCGCTTGAAGGTGGGGCGTAAACGAGGACGCGCATGGCGCTTGCGCGCAGTCACATATGTAGGCAATGATATGTCAAAATCTCTTGAAATCTTTCATTGGAAAATAGAGACAGTACGATTGATAGAATATGATGCAGTAGAAAAAGTAATTTTATTGCCGTAGGGAAAGGCCAGACAAAGTCTAGCGAAGGTACTCCGGGAACGAGTGGAGGCGTTTCCGCCGCCTACATTTGTGACCGATGTACGACGGGAATTTGAACACGTAAGAGTCTTTCCGGTTTCCCGAATTGTTTACCAGAACAACGCATTTGTTTGTTCTTCTCTTGTCGTGAATGATAGGTCTGAAAGCCAGTGATTTTTGGGTCATAAAATCAAAAATCATGATTTTAGGCGATTCCTTTCAGATGTCATACGAGAACACTGCACACAAGAGGAAAAATGAAGCAAATAGCCCTAAATTCATAAAGATGATTATAAGAATTATCATTCACTTATTCTAGGGACAACGAGTGGGCACCTGTTGGAGAATTCGCCGAATTTTCCATGGGTGCCAGTTGTGGACGGTGACTTCTTGATTGAGGACACCGGAGACGTCGCTGAGACAAGGTGAGAGCTCATGAGATTCCTGAAAAAATAATGATATGCTGGAAATTAATTTGCGTTGAGGCAACACACTTTTGAGCAAAAAGTATTACTCACATTATTTTTTATGCTATTCATCTCGTAATTGCTTGTGATAATTCAGATACCAATCTGTATAGACTTAATGTACGCTTCTTATGATGAATCTTGGGATGAAAGTGGAGAAATCAAATGGATTAATATTTTACAACTTTCTAGCATTTCCTTCAAAGAGAGACAAGTCACCTCTCGGTAATTCCTTGTGACACTCCACGCATCTTCATGGGTGGCTTCGGCTTTGGGGGGGGGGGGGCTGTGCGATTTGTGATAGATTCTTGTCAAAAGAGTCAGCAATCGTTGATTTGCTTTACTTGATGAGGTACTAATTCCTAACCAGTAGACGGCAGATTGCTTGATCGGCTGAGGAAGCTTCATTTCATTCACCATGATTGAATCATTCTGCTTCTCATCAAACTCAATCAATACATACATGTAATCCGATTAGAAAACACAAATAAGGATGGGCCTATGCAATATCAACTATAATCGATACAAAAAGTCCCAAAACGAGAATGAGGAAAACGGTAGTAGACTTTACAAAGTAATTGTGAACGAATTATGGCGTCCTTAAAGGCAAAGTTCGGGCTCAGACCCACTTAATGAGCCTTTACGGTGGCTAGAAGCGCTAGGTACGCAAGTGTAGAGGTCGCGTCACTTCCCTACTTCGAAAAGCGTTATTTAGACGCTAGGCGCTAAGAACTTTGACACGCTCCACCTGCTGCGACACGCTCCGCCCACCGCTCGATATCTTGACTGCGTCGGAATGTTGATCTGCTATGCTCTCTCTACTTAGACTTCTCTAGCGCTCTCCGCGCTCACATTATCTCTCATCTCCCTGCCGGCCTTTTGAACTTCTCCGCACCGTAGAGGAAATGGCTCGTATTTCCTAAGCATTTCACGATTTTTTTCCTTTTTCTGCACTGGCGGTCCACTACCTACCCCTACTTTCACATTTGAGTGGAATTACCTCATAATTCAATCCTGAATCTTGCCTTTAAATAAGGATCGTATGAAAGAATTGTGCGAAGTTAGTAGAATCATTGAAATTGGGTAGGTTTCTAAAAAAAACCTGGTGTCGGGATTACACCACTTGTTTAGATACACATTTACTTTAGATTTAGAATTACGATATGATGCCAACGGGAAAGAGAAAATCCTGGCAGAATATGACTGAAGTGAAGGCAAAACAAGACCACAGTCGATTTTCTACGGCCAGATAGGGCGCATACTCAACAGAAAGTGGCGCACGATCATACGCACATGAAAACCACAAGCAGCACTGATACTCAGCGTACAAAACTCGTCTGCTCGCATAAACTCGTAGATGGCGTAGATCTTGTTTCCTTCGTGAGAGTCGGATCTCACACGTTTTGGTTACGCTACTCGTCGGACTTCGTAATAACTTCGTATAGCATACATTATACGAAGTTATACGACCTCAACAACGCAAAGTCGGTAGTGAGGCCAATTGCTGTCGCCTTCGTAGTCGGGTTTTGCAGAGTGATCGCTGGTGAAATCGGAGTTCACTTGCCGCTAAAATTGCTAATAATGGCCCATGGCCTGCTGACAAGAAACTGCAAGCAGGCCTGAGCAGGGTCAACCCTATCATGGGTACTATTTGGAAATTTTTTACGACCCCCCCCCTTCATGGGCTAATTGATACGACCCCCCCCCTGTGTGTAATACTTGATAAATACTGTGTAATACTACAATTCATGCACTCATTTTTATTTTTTACTCTTCTTTAACTCATTTCAATAAATTTTCACTTCATTTTCCGCTTGCAAAACAATAAATTTTCATTTCATTTTGCGCTTGGAAAAGAATGAAGTAGAACGCATACTGCGTAATCCCTTTTTTGGAGGGGAGGGAAGCTCAGAGGTGGGTGTAAAAAGTTTGTGCGAAATGGTTCACGCTCCCTCGGGAAAGGGAAGCGTAAACCATTTCGCTCAAACTTTTACACCCACCCCTGAGCTTCCCCCTCCCTTCGCGCAAGCTTCACATCCACCCCTGAGCTTCACTCCCTCCAAAAAGGGATTACTTCATCCGATGTGACTGTCGCACCGCATCCCAGTCCTTACCGGAAGAGACCCGACGAAACGATGGTCATACGAACGATGGTCGACGAACGCAATGATAAGGAAAGTAAAAAAGGGTAAAAGTGGAACAACAAAGTGACGAAACCAAAAGAAGTGGAAACGCGTATTGATCGTTTCGAAATGTGGTGGATCGCGCCCTGGCAATGGTCGTGGCAATGGGGCGCGTTTGCTGATCGATTACTGGTGACGAAGGGGATATTGAAATGTAAACAAATTTTTCCTCTTAAATTTTCAGGTTCCTCGGAAGACGGGGGTGGATTTTGGATCACGAGGCTCATCCTTCTTATAAGTAGAGCGAATTTGTTCTTAAACAATCTGAAGTAATTAAGTTATTAAGCAAGAAATGAAATTGCACTGCAATTTTTACCTTCCACTTTCTAGCCCTATAACTTTCTTCGTATTCAAGCTTTTGCGGCGAAGTGATTTGATTTGAAAAATTCAAATTATTTTCTCTCCACTCATGTCTAAATTTTCTTTCAAAGTTAATTTAATAAAAATTTAGCACGTTGGAACTTTTTCCTGGTCAAACGCGACTTTTCAACCTTCACACGATCATAACTTCTCTCAAAGTTAGTCATTTGGGAAGCTGAACGCGCTATGAAAAACTACAGGATTCGAGCTTTCTAACAAGTACCCTAACTTTGCTGAAAGTCAGTACTTCAAAAATTAGTCCCGTTGGGACTTTTTTGGGGGGTTCGCGGAACTATTTTTCTGAAACCGCGACTTTTCATCCTTTTAACGATCATAACTTTGTTCAAACTGATTTATTTGGGAAGCTGAACACGGTATGAGAAACTAGAGGGTTCAAGCTTTCTAACAAGCACCCCAATATTCCTGAAAATTTAGTACTTCGAAAATTAGTCCCGTTGGGACTTTCTTTTGAAGGGGCATTCTTCAAGTCATTTTCTTAAGAACGTGGGTTTTTTTTAGGTTTCACAGGCCGCAACCTCCAGGGAAAACAATATCGTTTTGACCATAGGAAGTGTTAGAATGCTTCGAGCATGCGCTTGCAGTGGCATACCCTGCCTCGGTGTGCGCCATGCCTCGGCCGCGCTTCTGATTCGCTGATTCGATTGAAAGCTCATTTAGAAGGAACTGGCTTACAGATGCTCTACTATCAATTTTCTTGCGTAAACAACTTCCAATTGCTCTTTCCTTCCGTACCAGCATCTATTATCAGTAGGGCGATTAGTAGAAATCCGCCGACCAGCGAGATAGTACGACCCCCCCTCCAAGCTAAACCAAGTACGACCCCCCCGTTGGTACTTGTACCAACGTAGGGTTGACCCTGCTCGAGCATGCCTTGTTGGGTAATCCCTACACTATAACCACCAATCTGAGTGGCAGTGCAATTACTGCCATCACTCCCGAGCAAGCAATTTAGGGTAAAAATGTACTTCGGGGGGGGGCACCCTATCTAATCGAAGTAAACCTGCGAAAAACACCCATATCTATCAAAGTAGAGTTGCGGGAAGGCACTTATATCTTGTCATATCTTTCACTGAAACTGTGGCCTACGACTAGCACACTTACCCTTGTCATAATTCTATGGCTAAAATGGCTGCTACCCTGCTGGCTCTTCACTTTCACCAAACCTTGCGACTGCCATGCAAACTCTCGGAAGGAAGGGCCTTCCAGGTATCCGATTTTGTATGGAACCCGGGTTGGTATCCATATCTAATCATACACTCAGAGATTGTGCTCTGGATGTTGATTAGATATGACCGCACTTCCGCAGCTCCACTTCGATTAGATATTGTCAGTTCGATTAGATATTATGAGTGCCCCCCCCCCGAACTACGTTTTCACCCAATTTAGTAACTTTTGTATTGCGAGTACAAATCCAAGAGCATCCTTTCTGATTTGGAAGCACTTTGGGTCAATTCTGACATGACTCCGACTTTTGTAGGGCAATTACCTCAGTATACTAGGCAATCTGAGTACGAAGTTACCCAAGAGGTCTTGAAACAGCTTACGGGATCAGAGAAAAAGAATGGAGGAAACTGAGGGAGAGTGTGTGTGTTCTTGACAGCTCTGCAGCTCAGGACCTAACGGTCAGCATACGTTTTGGATAATATGGAAAATCCAGAAGGTAGCCTACAACACCGAACGGTAGTGAGTCGAAGTCGCCAACACCTTCGTGAGATGCTCTCCCTTCAACAATGTAAAGGACGTCTAGAACTACAAACAACCTGGGAAGAAAGAGTTACCGATCTCTGCTACCCTTCCATCTTCAACGGTAGCGGGTAGGAAACACGAGCTGGTCGCGTCTAAGGCCCGATGTCAGACTTTGCGAATCGCGCGATTCGCTAGCGTCTGCGGTCGCGTCGCGGCCAGTGAATCACTCAATTGGCTGGTACCGCAACGCGACCGCGGACGCTAGCGAATCGCGCGAATCGCTAGTAGCGAATCGCGCGATTCGCAAAGTCTGACATCGGCCTAAAGTAGGCGTCGTGCGTCCGCGTGCGATCAGTTTTGCAGCAAATGGTTTGAAAAGTTTGATTCGTGCAAATATCCTGTTCTCATCCTTTCGCCTATACATATATCCAGTAGTACAACTAGCGCCTGGTCATGAAGCATTGAAACGCATACTCTAGTGGCATCGTGAAAATCAATTACTTGCCACGGTTTCCAGACAAAATTAACTTCCTGCATGCAACAAACATTAAGCGAAAATCGAATTTTTATGTGGTTCTCCCATGATCACCCTAAAATATGATGGATCTGCAGGTAACTTCAAACACACTCAACTTTTGGCTGGTAGCAATCTTGATGAGAGCATGTACTTCATCGTATTACCAGTTGACGGTGAGTTTAGTTAGTACTCAACTATGCAACGTGTCTAAAATACGTGCAACTAACGAAGCGATCAAAAAACATTTAAGAAAATGCATTGTCATCAAACGACGAATCATAAGGTTTCATAGCTGCAAGAAGTTTCGTAGTGCTACAATAATGTTTAGAGACGTGGGCTCATTTCTTCAGGGAAAGAAAGGTCGAGTGCAGATGGCCAATGTCAATACTCTTCCCGATTTTGATCAAGTTCTTCCGTAAATTAATTGAACTCTTCGTATTTCAACTCATTAGTCGTTCTTCCATAAAATCTCAAAGAGAAAGCCTAACAGGCTTTAACCCGGGTTCCCCGTAAGCCACAAATCCTTTATCAAAAATATCCGGTGCTCACGTGGAAAAGAAGCCTCTCTTGGCTCCATGGGTAGAGCACAACCAATCTGAAATCTCGGAGCTATGCTACTCCAGCGCTGAACACTTTTAGACAGCAGATGAGGTCCTCATTTGACCGCAATATAAAAATCTGCAATTTATCGCATTTTGCACTCCTAGGTGAAACTCCAGTTCGGGGGGGGGGCACTATCTTATCCGTAGTACTAGAGAGCAGTTCTTGGGCTATCGAACACTACGGATAAGATAATAAGTGAACGACTCATTTCGAGCGTACTTTTGATAAGGACCGGTGGATGTCCTACATTCCACACTACCTGCCCACATCCCATCCACTTTTCTGCACAGGTGATCCACCCTGGAGCTCCTGCACCCTTAGCCCTTTGCGGAGGTGTCCTTTCTCCTGGTCCAGGACCGTTCCCTTGGGTCATGGCAGGCGGAAATGTAAAAACGCAAGTTATTCGTCACAATAATCTTCCTATAAGGATTTTGGCTATCCGACTATCATTTACGAGCAGCGTATAGTTATTACGCGTTTCTGTCCTCTTTTGAGTTCGGGCTTGGACATCCTCTCAACATTATTTTACGAGCTTTTGGGCAATTCTCAAAGGGTCCTAAGCCTTGGCGATGCTGAAGTCTTCATGCTGCTCTTTCTTGGCCCTTCAACCAACTCGCGCCTTGAGCAAACTCTCCGCCATGATACATAAACGAATAGCGCACGCATAATATATCGTGCAATACTCTAGAGTTAGTAAGATATCGCAATGAGATTAGGATTGACCACTCTGTATAATCGTCCTCGTAGCAATTTCGGAGCGTTTTCCTTGTTTTGACAATTGAGACTGTTACAGGATATCTTTCCGGTTGAAGACTTTTTCACAAAAACGGACTTCGTGCCGGACCGACCTACATGGCTGAAGGGAATCTTGGATCTGCTACCACGACAGATGGTAAGAACTACTCGGTTTTGAAAGCGATACTGCATGAGTATGAGCCAACAAAGCGACCAGGTATTCTTTTATTACCTTCGACAACTACTAGCATTGAACCCAATCTGGACCGATGCAGGTTTCATCTGAGTAGTGAAATAACCTCAGAATTGTAGAGTAGTTCTATAGTTCTATAGTATCAGTAGTTCTATATACGGTGAGCCTAGAGAGGTTTGATGGCTTTCTGTTCTCCTGGAGCACATTCAACATTCAAATCGTTGAAGGCCTTAAAGGGAAAGTCAAACTCTCTCCTTATTGTTGACTTTTGCAAATGCTTGGTCTTACGATTTGAAAAGGAGACCTTGATGGAAAAAAAAGTGTGGTTTTGCATGTACCATCCTCGTCGTTGCGATTACATGCCAGTTTGTTTCAACTGGGAGCGTATTGACAGTATGAATATGGCTAATTGACTGGCTGCGTATTTACAGTACGGCTTTCACCTTCCAACCCTGTTCTCGCACTTAATGTAGTAATTGGGTTTTTGGTACTATCCTGCCGAGTCCCTTTAGCCGTATGCCGAGAGATCCGGACAACTCCAGCTATCTGGAAAGCACGTGGTTAATGAAGGGAAAAGGATAAAAAGCATTTGCCGTCGATCAATCTCTGTTTTGGGATGCGACACGCATTCTGTTTCCATTTGTACTACATTCATAGTGGTGTTTGAATGCGATGTGGCCTATACAATGACTTGCGGGGGCCAGCCGATGTACAAGTCAGTGTTTTTATCCTCCCAGACAAGTCTGGTACCAATTAACCGACCCCGGAGGGATGGAAGGCTTGGTTGGCCCGGGCGACTCACGACCCAGGATTTGATCCCCGGACCGCTCGCGTGGTAGCGTGCCACTTGCCACTACACCACTTCCGCCCTTTTTCTGTTCTACACCCGCATAAATCTTTTATTGAGCAAACAAAACTAACATGACATTCGGTAATAAGGTCCATAGTGAGCCAAACTGGGTGTGAATAATCTTCACTCCTTTCTCTGCCTTCTTCGATCCTCACACCAATTGGGCGGAGGCGATCGGGTTCTGTTTGGGAGAAATCCATTGTGGTCGTGAAACAAATGTGCTCGTGTTGGGAAATGTAGCGAGTAGACGACTGCTCCTGATGAGAGCAGTAGTGTAATAAAATTCTACTAGAACAAGAAGAAATGTTTAGTAATAATATACCATGTTAGTGCCTGTCATAGAACCTTGAGGGCAGGCGATCCTTGTTCCCAGATACCTTCCTCCAGGTCCCGCCCCGAGGCAACCATCGTTGCCCCGGATCCTCTTCTCTCTATTGAAAAGTGCCTGCCCTAAACGGGTCATCCAGGGTCCGTGCCACCCCCGCCCCGATGTATCCACTCGAAAGAAATATAAGCGCAAGGGACATCCAATACACTGGATGGTGGAGCACACAAATCGGGCCCGTCACGCTGGCGCTATCTTACCACTGGTGCGGCACACAACTGAAAGTTACCAATAAATACTTCGTATAACTTACAAGTCTGCAATCCTACAGACGGTGCCTCCCCTCTCAGACGTAGAGGGTCGCCGCAGCCGACACAGGGTAAGCGGACGAACCACGAGATTAACCATGGTATAGATTGGGTCGATGTGTCGGCAGAGGAAAAACTGCGCGCCGACCGATTTGTCAGCAGTAACGCGCCCCAAGCACCTTCGTGTACCGCCTTAGCCTTGTAGCGTCCGTAGCAGGGGCTATCCCTCAAGTATGCGAAAATAGAAGAGGCGATCGCTGATGAAGAGTGGCCTCCTGGGGAGCAGCTCACCGGCTGGAACACGCTCCTAAGACCCGTGCCCTCCTGTCATAACCGGCCGCTGCAGGCACGATAGAAGCCACAGATGTGCAAATAGCGCTCGAACCACCATCGCGTAGCGCGCGTTAGCATTGGCACAAAGCATGAGGTTTTCTGTTTCAAGCATTGCGCTCTGGGCGATTGTTTCTTTTTCGTTCTTGGAAACGATCAGTGTGTCTTTTTCTACTACACTATTTATAAAGCTTTACGAACTATGCTACGTCCACACTTACGAATGTATTAGGATGAGAGCGACCAACAAAGCTTTAACTGCAACACGATTTATTCATTAGGAGTGGATGTGTTTAGTTCGAGCACGTGATTGGTTGGATTCAATGGAGAAGATGCTTGGCGACTACCACTTTACTTGCAATGTGAACGAGATGGCTCTGGCCCACTCGAAGCATGGTGGAGACACGTATTACTACTACTTCACGCACAGGTGTGACGAAAAATTTGCGGTTGTGTCTTGAATTTTTTCCTGCTCACGATGACAGCTTTGCAGGGCAACAGCGCAAACTTGGCCAGAAATGGATGGGCTGCTTACATGGTTATGAGATTAATTTTGTTTTTCGGTGAACCTTTCAATAAAAAGTTCAACTACTCCACTGAAGAGCAGGAGCTGAGCAGCCGATTCATGCGCTACTGGGCCAATTTTGCCAGAACTGGGTGAGTTGTCATGAAAGTAATTGCCAGAGTCTCTTGAGGCGGAATCACTTTTGGATTACGAAACTTTCATCAACTCCCGTATTAGGCCGATGTCAGACTTTGCGAATCGCGCGATTCGCTAGCGTCTGCGGTCGCGTCGCGGCCAGTGAATCACTCAATTGGCTGGTACCGCAACGCGACCGCGGACGCTAGCGAATCGCGCGATTTCGCAAGTCTGACAATCGGCCTTAGGCCTCATTGCCAACTTTTGGTGTGACGTGTACAACTATTACGTTAACGATGGCTTTGAATTATCACTTGATGTTAATTCCACATGCAGTGCAATGATCAAGTTTCTTCCAGTGATCCAAATAAAAACGAGGATGGTACGTATACAACGGATGTTTGGCCCAAGTATAATGGTGAATCTATGGAATACATGAACATGACTGTTGAATCGGCGTATCCAACTTCACAAAGAACTGGTCATGGTCCACGACGGGAACAGTGCGCATTTTGGAAGTCATACCTGCCAAATCTGATGGCGAAAAGTGAGTGAATTGTTCGACAATTGTGCTCCAGATCACAAGAAATCAGTTGAATGATGTGCTGTTAATCAGGCATTGTTCCTGTTAAATGCTTCTTGAAGCTTTTGGTCAAGTTAACAGTAATAACATATCATGACATAAGAGATAGGAGGAAGAGATAGCTGTGATACAGCGAAGTAGTGCGGCTCTTATGCGCAACATTGCCATAGTTATATTTTCGTAGGTTTAATGAATTTTTAAACGGAAACACTGGTCAAAAACTTCATGACAATTTCAATCTTCGGTCTGACTCAAATTCCTCGTTTGCTAGTAGTGCCATATTTTAGTAGTCGCTGTTCAAAGCTCTTGTTGGCGCAATTTGTGCTCAATCCACTGCCACATCCTACGATGGGCTTCACACATGAACAGACTAGACAGAGGGGTAGTGAATGCAGGGGTAAAAGAACGGCAGAATCCCAGAAAAACACCCCCTTCTCTGCTGATGCACGCGTATAGATGTTTTTTCATCAGTGCTGGAACTTATCAGCGCAAAAACGCCCGCCTGTCTGCTAAACGGCTGAAACCGAACGGAAAATAAGTATGGCCTCATCCGTTTGGCGTGCTGCTAGCATGAGGCGGTAGGGTTGGACGGACTACTTGCACCCGGTCCTTTAAGCCGCCTCAGATCCATCTCTCGTCTGCGCTCTCTCACCTTATCAGCGGCTCATGCCATTGTGATCACACACACATTCAAACTTTTGCCACACTGTAGTTGGCTCACCCACCTCGAAGTCCCTCCCTCCTACAAGGCTTAGTCCTAGAGCTCTCACCTCCTTCCCTGGGATTTGGAGCCGAGCCAGGCGCCGTTCTCTAACTGTCTGTGCCCTCCGCCATTCGTGGCAGGACCATGGAAGAAAGTTCAAGTAGTCCGTAAACCGGCAGTGCGAGCGGCGCGAGAAGGCTACTGAAACGCGCTCGGCCTATCCTGTACTGCGCCCACATCACGAACGGTCTTGCCCGAAGGCCCGCTGCCTTTCACTAGTTACTTCTGCAATCTCTGATCTTGTCGAGAATCTTTCCATTGATATGTCTTCAAGTGCGGGGACAACTACATAGAGGTCGAGAATGTTGAAACTGTTTGATGAAATGCGGTTCCATAAATTATAACAGGATAGGCAAGCGTCTATCCCCACAAGGTTTGCCACTGATTATTTGTCTGGATAATCGCCAAGGTGCATTCCACACAATGCCAGTTGAACATTTTCTTCCAGGGTTAATGCAAACACGTTTTTTGAAAGATAGCCAGAACTATTCTCGGCACCCTAACAACATCCTAATGGTGTCTTTTACACTTTAGAAACCGGGCTACGCTCACCATTGCTACAAACGACAGGGTACCGACGTTGCAACCCTTCAAAACTGTAAATGAGATGTGTGTTTTTCAGCTGAGGACGACGATTGCTAACAGTAAATGGACAGATGGCAAAATGAGTACATCATGGACTGGCAACACACTTTGAACCAGTATAAAAAATATCGAGGGTATCGTCACATAGGTTCCTATTCATGCGGTCGTAGGCAAATTACAGGATTTGTTGGGTCGCTCCTCCTTCGTTTACCTGTATGACAATATCATTACCAATTTGTAATCACTCAGGATGAGTGAATAATAATTACTCTTAATTTCACATTAGGCATCTTTCTTCTTGGGATTAGGATCTTTTTGAGGATTACACAGATGTATGGTTTCTACGACGCTAATACTTCAGTGTGCTCACTGATGGATTACTTACTTACATATGCTAATTCCTTTCTCCCGCTGTGCTAACGCTAGTGAAGCTGAGTCCCTGCTCTCTTTTCAATGTTGCCAGTTTTGATGTACACTACATAATCCTATATATAAAGCGCTAAGTCTGTCTGTCTGTGTGTGTGTGTGTCACGAAATTCATAGCACGCGTCGCAGCAGTCGTTAGAGCTGATTTTTTGATATGATATAGGGGGTGGGACGGGAACATATTTGGTGGGGGTCACAAAGTGATAACGACTGATAAGAGCAGATAAGAGGCGCTGAAACACAAATTTCACGAAATTCATAGTGCGCTTCGCAGCAGTCGTCAGGAGCTGATTTTGGGGCATGATATAGGGGGTAAGACGGGAACATATTTGGTGGGGGTCACAAAGTGATAACGACTGATAAGAGTAGATAAGAGGCGCTGAAACACAAATTTCACGAAATTCATAGTGCGCTTCGCAGCAGTCGTCAGGAGCTGAGATTGGGGCATGATGTAGGGGTGAGACGGAAACATATTTGATGGGGTCACAAACTGATAACGACTGATGAGGACTGATAGGAACGATATGCGTACGAAACGTAGAGAGCATTTTCATCAGCGTTGTAATTGTAAAACTCCTTCCGACCGCTACACCCCTTCTAGAGTTCTTGAGGATGAATGGGATGCTCGAATAAATATGATAATGAATACTAGGCATTCCGTTTTGAGATATTCGACCGCTAAATTACCTCGATACTCGACGCATAGTGGTTGTTTACATCATCACTTTAGCTGTGCTTCACTGCGCTTATCAAACAGTGAGATACAGCCAAGATGGGCAGCCTATGCAACGGACAGTAATACATTTAACGAAGCAGCTATAATTTAGCGGTGAAACCTAAAGCTTCATCGATTGTCAGTTCTATCAATGCGCGCGGTAGCGGGCGGAGCTAAACTGGTTAAATTATATTCGCCGTAAAACTTGTTTAAGTAAAATATATGATGCATTTCGTACGGATTCATCTTGCCTTAACCGCAACAGCTATAAAAATTCAATGATTAAGACAGTTTTTTTTAGGAGAAACGGTTCGTGAAACTTTCAGGTAAGCTTTCTGTCCAAGAAAGTATCTAATGGAACATGAAAGATGTCTATACAGGGTTTTGGGCATCAAGTGTCGAAAGACAAACATACAAGGAGTGATACGATTTAAGCAGCCTGGGCCAGGATTATCCAATAATCAATCTATATAGCCGCTGTGTAAAAAATTTTTGTTGTCAGAAGGGGGCCGCATAAATTATGCTAAAGTCAATCCCTGATTTGTTACGATAAGGTTAAAGGGTCCAAAAATTGCACGTTGTCCGACGGATATTCTATCTTTCAAATGAGTCCACCAGCATGTAGGAATGTGAAGCGCACGGCGCATCCCAGATGAGGGCAACTCAGTTGGGCGCGACAACTACGACTCTCTGACAAATGAGCTTCTGCATTTGAAAAAACCTGAAGGACTCCTGATAAAAAACTCTGAAAGAGGGCGCAACAATCCATCTTTAAAAAAAAGGTGCAGATTTTTAGGTCGAATCTATAAGCATCCCGACAGTCGTAAAAAAATTGCAAGTTGCTCAATTATTCAGAAAAGAAGAAAAGTTTGTGTTGCCAAATCTCTTTCATTTTTGGGTGAAATTCTAGTTTCGGAGCATTCGCATTGTGCTCCAGCCGTATCAACGATTGAATACAGAGTTTCTGCTGAAAAGGTAATCGATGGCTTTGGAATTATTGTCTGGGCAGTGCGGGAAGTAACTTCTGAGGGCTTCCACAACTAGATCCCGACCTCTGTATCAAGAAGTGTAAAGCAACTAAATAATGGACATATGTTCCCAAGGCAATGGAGTAGAAGCTCAGCGCGTGGAGACGGTTAACATACCATAAATTGCTAGGATGTGATAGTATGTGCGTGATGTAAGGTATAAGTGGTCTCTTATCAAAAGGCTGCTTGAATGAGTCTTTTAGCTGTAATTTCTTATCCATACATGGTAAAGCCAAAGCCAGTTCTCTCTACCTAAGTGCTACGGATACCGATAACAGGAGTGTCGCCCCCGCTGAGCTGAGGATTGATCAACATTTTTTGTCACAAATACGCATCAAGTGAAAAGAGCTACTATATGCGTTGAATCATTGCACCATGGGCAGTGAAAGGAGAGCCAGCTTGGCGATACCACAAAGCAAAAAATCTTCAACGGGGTCACAGCAACTCTTGTATACAGCAAATCTTCTAGTTCAACACACTATATAAACTTTTTCAGATTTGTTAAACTGAAGGAAGTTATTGCTCTGAAAAGTGTAAGAAATCGCACTTGTCGGAATTTTTCTTCGTTATTTTTACAAAAAATCCTCAACGTAACCATTTTTGAAATGTTGAACGTGTTAAAACGTTTCAACGAGGAATAAATAGGACAAATCTTCTAGTTATCTTTTGCCTTATCAGCTTTTCAAGTTTCAGAAGTTCAAAAGAAGCATTAAGAGCTTAGAAAAGCCTAAAAACTCGCACTCACCAAAATTTTCCTCGTTAACCAATCACAGAATTTTGTAATTTCTCATATAATTTTTACAACGCTTGATTCGGAAAGATGCTTCTTCACAACTTCCGAAATCTGCGTCTGAGATTGAAAATTCGTACCACGGTTCAAGGAAATTTATGTCATTTTGAAATATGTGTTTCAAATTTCAATAGCAGAATAGGCTCCTCCAAGGCCAACGCCCAAGATCAATCAACAAACAGCTAACTATAGGACGGGTACAAGGCTTCTGTCAACCAGAAGGTGGATCTGTAGATTGAAGCATCTTCTATTACAGCTGTTCAAGAACTTAGGTATCCTGCAAGGAAATGAAGGGAAGTAACGAGATGCGTTAACGGATTATGATATTGTTCATGAGAATTCGTTGAAACGACTTCAGTAGTTAAGGATGAGGTGAAAAGGGTTTTTTTTGCACACGGAAAGTGAAGAATTAAAAAACTTTTCATACATTGGCTTGTGAGAGGGATCGTTTCATGGAATTCGGCCCAGGGTCAACCGTGCGTTGGACGAAGTCCAACGAGGGGTGGGGGAGGGTCGTATTTGGGGTGGAAAAAGGGGGGGTCGTATTCCGTGAGGTAGCGTTAATGTTACAGTAAGGAAGTGATTACGATGATGCAGTCGACGGCAATTTTGGAGGAAAAAGTGGGCGAGTTTGGGCTGTGTCGACTGGTCTCAGAATCGAATACTATAGAATGAGCCCCATGATGGCGATGGCAGGCGAGGGTGGTGAAGGGTTGACCCTGAGGGGGGGTCGTATCGAGGCCCTCTAGAAGGGGGGGGAGGTCGTAAAATTTTCCAACGGTGACGGTTGACCCCGCTTCGGCCGCTGGGCGGGGGTGAGAGTGGAGTTCCAGGACGCCTCTGCTTGATCCGCTTGTCACTTCCCCGATATGAGCATTTAAGTTTTGCCGCATAGTGTTCCGCTTGGTGCGAGTCTCATTTACCTTCTTCGCTGCTAACGCTCTCTCTGTTCAACGGTCATAGACGACGTAGGGGGGCGTGCCGCGGCGCAAGCGGCACGAGTACAGTCTGCTGGTCACTCTTCTAAAACTCACATCGTTTCACACCCTTAGAGGGCCTGCCTGCGTTATCGACTTATCGAGGAAGGTCTTTCAGGAAATGCCAAGCTTTCTCAAAACGGTTTTTTGCATGATATAGGGGTACATGCATGGAACACTGAACTATAGTTCATTTTTCCTGAGCGGCCCTTTGAATACCAAAAAGGGGTTATGAAGTGGTCCGTGGTTCAAATCCTCACAGTGACAATTTTTTTGCATTTTATGTTCGCGCTCCAAAGTTCACGAAAAAGGATGTCAGCGTGAATAGCAGATGTCATATCTATAACTAGGAGCAACAGCAACCTTCATACGTAGATTTTGACTAAAAAATCTGGTGGAGAAAGTTGCGATACCAAAACGGCGCCGTTGTAGCGCCCAATGGCGTCATAGCGAATTCAAATGACGTTTACGCTAAAAACTAATAGAATATTCGTAATCAGGACGCCGAATAACCCCTAACCCGAAAGTTTCAGGGAAAATTAAGATTTCGTCCCAACTTCGAACAGTTGGACCATGGGTAGATAGATCACTAGCCCGTCAGGCTCATTGGTAGATAATTTGGAGGCGACCTCCTTGTCATTTTTCATGGAATGCGACCCGTAATAGAAAATCGTAGACACTCAAGCCGACGATTGGCGAGAAGTCACCAATGACTATGTCATTAGGTTCCCCTCATTGTCAAACAGTGGCAGGTCGGGTCCTGGTCATATTTCTGGCTGGGTCTACTGTCGATAGCAAGATCAGCTGCAAAGAGCGCAAAGTTGTGTGAGACTTGCCCTGCAAGGGAGTACCTCGGTTTCCGTGGTAATCACTAGGACGGACCCCTCCTATTCCACGGCAGCCCTTCTGCAAGCCTTCCGGGGGCAATTTTGTTTATGAGTTATAAAATTTCTACCGATGCACACACAAGTTCGTGAGAGACCGATACGAATTCGCAGTCGTAGGATCTCAAAACGAACATAAAACCGCATTATATGCATGCGCAGGAGTGCACGATCACAGGAAAATGACAATAGAAAAAAAGCAAAATTTTGGCACTGTGGGGAGTCGAACCACCAACA